TTTAGTTTTTTTGTTGGTGCATTTCAGGCAAAACAACAGTGAGAACGCTACGTGGCCCACTGGTGGAAATGGCGGACGATGTTGAATGTCTACAGGAACTGATTGCCCAATTAAGGACAGAGAATGACAGACTGCGCCGAGACCAGCTATCTACCAGTAATCCTTCCACCTCAAACGCCTCCTTTGCTCCCCCTGCAGTACACCCTGCAGTGACAGATAGGTTGTTGCTGGTGCCTCGAGACCGGAAATGCCCTATGTTTAGAGGCAGGGTGGGATTGGCACTTGGAGAGTGGCTGGAGGAGGCTGAGTCGTGCATGAGGGCCCGGCACCTTTCTTCAGCAGATAGGGCTTTCTTTCTATATGATCACCTGGAGGGAGAAGCTAGAGATGAGATTAGATACCGGTCCGCTGCAGATAGGTCTGACCCAGATCGCATTATTGCTATTCTCCAGGAGTTGTATGGTTGCACAGAGTCTTATGTTTCACTCCAAGAAGCGTTTTTTTCACGGAAGCAGCAGGAGGGTGAAACCCTTCAGGAGTTTTCCTTGGCATTAATGGGCTTAATGGAGAAGGTCAAGGCACGTGCACCCAATAATGTGTTAAATTCTGATGTGTTGTTGAGGGATCAGTTTGTAGAGCACGTTTTGGATGGGTCCCTAAGGCGAGAGTTAAAGCAGGTTGTACGTCGCTCGCCCACAACCGCTCTACTGGAGGTTAGGGCAGAAGCTATACGGTGGGAGAGGGAAGCCTTACCAAGGGGTGCGCGTGGTCGCAGCCACTCCGTGCCTTCATTGGGATTTCAGTTTGCGGTGCAGGGTTCCCATCAGGCCCCCCTGCCGAATCAGGGATCAGAGTTGCGTGAAATGCACCAAATGCTAGTCCAGCAACAAGAGCAATTAGATCAGCTTACAAGGACTGTTGCTTCCCTTCGTGAACCTTACCCACGCAGTCGCGCGCCAGCAAACCTTCCAATAATATGTAGGCGATGCCAACAACCCGGTCATTATGCACGGGAATGTGATGGGGTACGCGTTTCATCCCGTTCTCAATCGCAAGCCCCTTACCAGCGTAACCCCCAGATCCAGCCCCCTGCGGTCTCGGAAAACTAGAACCCACCGAGTTGTTGAGTCGCAGCTCGGGTGGGGTTGTCACTGGCTCTCAGGCAGCACTAGACCGTGTAGGGAGAACACCTCACATTGTTGCCCCATGTCCACATTTAGATGTGTTTATAGGCGGGGTACAGGTCTCTTGTTTAATTGACACTGGTTCAATGGTCTCCACGGTGACTGAAAGCTTTTTCCGAGAACACTTTGAATCTTGGGGCCCTGATCGTTTGCAGTCCTGTCACTGGTTACAGCTCCGGGCTGCAAATGGTCTCTCCATCCCTTACATTGGCTATATAGAGTTTGATGTCGAGCTTTGCGGCAGGTTAATCCCCAACTGTGGGGTTCTGATTGTTAAGGACCCTCCTGGCAGTGTTCCCTCAGTGCCTGGTGTTCTTGGCATGAACGTAATTCAGAAATGTTACTTTGAGCTTTTCGGGCAACATGGTGCAGCATTGTTTGGTAGTGATTATGTGTCCAGTGCCCCAAAACAAATTTGGAAAGCGTTGCAAATGTGCCATTATAGTTCCCAGGACCCTCCAGACTTTGGGAATGTAAAAGTGAGCGGTCGATCAGTCTGGCGGATCCCTGGGGGAGTGATGAAACTGGTTGCTGCAACGTGTTCTGAGCAGTTTTCCAACACCTCTGTCCTCTTCGAGCCCCCAGAGAAAGGATTACCGGCTGGTTTAGTTGCTTCCCCGGCATTGGTCAGTGTAGTGCAAGGCTTGGCCTATATACCTATAGTAAACGTGGGGTCTACTGATGTATTACTCTACCGTCGTACTATAATCGGATCTCTGCGTTCTGTAAATGTGGTTAGTTTGCCGACAGGGGTTAGTGAAGAGCCCACTTGCGCTGCTAAGCTTTTGTCACAGACTGCGGGCCCAGCGGTAAAAGATCAGATTGATTCGATTGATTTGACACACTTGTCTGAGGAGGATCAGTGTAGGGTCAGGAGCTTGATCAGGGAGTACACCCCAGTTTTTGCAGCTCATGATGGTGACCTTGGTTGCACAAGCCTGATTAGCCATCATATCCCCCTCATTGATGATGCCCCTGTAAAGCAGAGGTACAGACGTATCCCGCCTTCAGACTATGAAGCTGTTAAAGACCACATTAGCCAGCTCTTAAGTGCTCAGGTGATAAGGGAAAGCAGCAGCCCTTATGCGTCCCCTATTGTGTTGGTAAGGAAAAAGGATGGTAGTCTAAGGATGTGTGTGGACTACCGGCAGCTTAATGGCAAGACGCACAAGGACGCATTTCCCCTCCCCCGTATCGAAGAGTCCTTGGATGCCCTGACTGGAGCGCGCTGGTTCTCAACATTAGACCTTGCCAGCGGCTATAACCAAGTGCCTGTTGCAGAAGAGGATCGTCAGAAGACTGCCTTCTGTACTCCGTTTGGGTTTTTTGAATTCAATCGAATGCCGTTTGGACTGTGTAATGCCCCCAGCACTTTCCAGCGGCTGATGCAACGTATATTTGGTGATCAACAATACCAGTCCTTACTTCTGTACCTTGATGACATTGTTGTGTTCTCCTCCACAGTAGAACAGCATCTTGAGCGGCTTGGGACTGTCCTCGGCAGGCTGCAAACCCAGAACCTTAAGGTCAAGCTCGCAAAGTGCGCGTTCTTCCAGCAAGAGGTCAGATATCTCGGGCATGTCATATCCAATAAAGGCGTCGCAACTGATCCCGCCAAGATTGAGGCAGTGGCTGGCTGGCCTCGACCAACAACAATCACCGAGCTAAGGTCGTTCATTGGCTTCGCAAGCTACTACCGGCGATTCGTGGAGGGATTTTCTAAGCTGGCTACACCCCTCAATCGCCTGGTGGGCGGGCCAAAGTCCCCAAAAGGGTCCAAGCATGACTTCAACGAGGCATGGACTGAGCAGTGTGAAGCGAGCTTCCAAGAATTGAAGAGTAGACTCACTAATGCCCCTGTCTTGGCGTATGCAGATTTTACTCTACCCTTTATTTTGGAGGTGGACGCCAGCCACGGTGGACTAGGGGCGGTCCTGTCCCAGCAACAAGAGGGAGTTGTGCGTCCTGTTGCTTATGCCAGTAGGGGACTGAAACCGACAGAAAGGAACATGGATAATTACAGCTCCATGAAATTAGAGTTCTTGGCCCTTAAGTGGGCCATGACAGAGAAGTTTAGGGAGTACCTACTGGGGCACAAGTGCCTGGTACTAACAGATAATAACCCCCTGAGTTACCTGTCCACTGCAAAGCTGGGTGCCACTGAACATAGGTGGGCGGCCCAACTCGCATCTTTCGACTTTGACATAAAGTACCGTTCTGGTCGGAGCAACAGAAATGCGGATGCCCTGTCCCGACAGCACCCCCCAGTGGCAGAAGACATTAATTCTGCGGTCCCAGGGAGCATGTTGCCAAAGTCCCTGCAGGAGTTGGTGGAAAGGCAAGAGGTTTCGCAAGCAGCCATCACAGTCTTACCAGACCGTACCACAGTCAATATGCAGGCACTTCAGCAGGCGGATCCTGCCCTCGAGGAAGTTTTAAAGTTTTGGAGGCGGCAACGGCGACCCACGTACAATGAGCGTCAAGGCCTATCGTTATCTGCATTGGGATTCCTGCGGCAGTGGAGTCGCCTTGCCGAAAGAGATGGTGTACTCTGCCGCCGGATTTTCCGCCCGAATTATGCAGAGGAGGCTTTCCAAGTGCTGCTGCCGGCGGTTCTAAAGGATGAAGTATTGACTAACGCCCACCAAGACCATGGCCATCAAGGCGTGGAGCGGACACTGGCACTCTTAAGAGCAAGGTGTTACTGGCCAGAGATGTCCTCCCAAGTAGCAGACTGGTGCAGATCGTGTGAGAGGTGTCAAGTGGCAAAGGACAATAATCCCTCCATACGGACTTATATGGGACATTTGCTAGCTTCGCGGCCCAATGAGACTCTGGCAATGGACTTTACTGTACTCGAACAGTCCCAAGATGGCAGGGAGGATGTGCTTGTCCTCACCGATGTTTTTAGCAAATACACCCTAGCCATTCCCACCAGAGATCAGCGGGCCCAGACGGTCGCCCAGGTGCTAGTGACTGAGTGGTTTTCAAAGTTTGGCGTGCCAGCCCGAATTCACTCAGACCAGGGTCGCAATTTTGAAAGTACCCTTATACAGCAACTTTGTCAGTTATATGGGATAGTAAAGTCAAGGACAACCCCTTACCACCCCGCCGGAAATGGACAGTGTGAGAGGTTCAATAGGACACTGCATGACCTGCTGCGTACCCTACCAACAACGCACAAGAGAGCATGGCCCTCTTACTTGCCCCAGGTACTTTTCTGTTATAACACCACGCCACACCAGTCCACAGGGGAAACTCCATTCTTCCTGATGTTTGGCCAACAACCCAGGCTGCCCATGGACTTCCTTCTCGGTCGAGTAGTTGAGCCCGCTGCTGGGGGCGTCCATGAGTGGGTCACAGAGCACCAAACCCGCCTGCGGATTGCTTTCGAGAAGGCCAGTGCGAGACTTGGGACTGCCGCGGACCGAAGGAAGAGAAATAACGATGAGCAGGTCCGGGACCCCCCATTAGTGGAAGGGCAACTGGTGCTTATACGAAACACTGGTTTCCGGGGTCGACATAAAATTCAGGACCGGTGGAGCCCAAACGTGTACAAGGTGGTTGAAGTCCACCTTGACGGAGGTGCGGTATATACAATCGCTCCCCTTGACAACCTGACAAATGTAAAAAGAGTTCATCGGTCCCTTCTCAAACCTGTCCCTGCAGGCACAAGTGCCCCTCCACCCACTGATTTGTCTTTTGACTCTATGTCAACCGAAGAGGACGCGCAGGTGGATTTGTTTCTTAAGGTGTCAACAGCCCCAACATCTGCCAACAAACATTTGCCTCCTCCTCCACCCGCGGCCCCCCCAGATGTCACCCCTCCGCCGGCCAGTGGGGCACAAACTTTCCGTAGGACTACCAGAGTCACAGCAGGACAGCACTCCAACCTCAATAGACTTCCACGACCAACAGTGGGAACGGCGCACGGGGCTGCTGCATCACCAGGCCCTTGACCTAGAGCTGTTTGGTAGTGTAGTTAACCTCGGTCGCCGAGACGTCGACCCAAAAAAGGGGGGGTAGGTGTGACAATATGAATTAAAGTGCTTGAAACGGGTCGCGCCTGTCCCCTTAAGACACAGCATTTGGTTCGCTCTATAAATGCGCGTCTCTCTCTCGGGTGCGCCCCTTTTGGACACGCCCCCCCTGCTGCTTCCCAGTCTGCGTCTGGCCAGGTACGAGATGCTGCGCTAGTGCAATGTTAATGATTACACATGCAATGGTTAGAAAACACACTTCTAGCTCTGTATCTTTGTCCCTCCAGGCTGACGAGGGGCTGCCTTACACTCTGCAGCCGCGACTGCGCGCGCACTCTCTGTCATAGGTATAATGCTCTGGGGTCAATTGGGGGCATTTAAATAGTCTAGTAATAGTGTGTTCCCCTAGTGACAGCTCTGCTACGCCGCTGCAGCTCATGTGGGTTAGCCTGGTCCTGGCTTTGCACAATGCCAAGGGAGGTTAAATCCCTCAACATTAGCTGAAGTCCCCAAACCTGAGTGGTCCTGTGGTCCCATGCAGGCTGCCTGCCTTTTGCCTCGAGTATTGAAGTGGTAAGAAAAGGAGTAATGAAAATGGCTTAAATAGTAAACTAAATTCTAAACATCTCAGCAGTGGTGTGGGCTTATTGAACCCACTTGAACGTACTTTCTAGTCCTCTTCATCGAAAGTAACAAGGTAAAAAAAGCATTTATCTTTGTATATGAATTTCTTTTCACATTAGCTCCTAACAGGCTATTTTATTAACAGCACTCCCTGTGAGCCAGCCCATGATAGCCAGCCGCAACGCTTCTCCTGGCCCCATATTGAAGCGCTCACTGTTGTTTTGCCTAGAGATTATGTTGGACTCTACATTGTTAACGAATATACTGTAAACTTGACCTGACTGTCTGTGATTCTGGGATGAAAGTGTATCGTTATCTGCACTAAACTTTACTTTTGTTTTAGGAGCTGAGGTTCCATGTGGGTGCACTGGTGACTCCTGGTGGTGGTGTTTGAGCCGAACGGTCTAGGTTCCCCTTTTTGTGTTTTGTAGTGTCTGCTGTGCCAGGGGGTTCTACTCCTCGTCCAGTTGCTAACTCCCCTCTTTCTTTTGCCACAACTTCCCACTGTAGCCTCAGCCCTCTAATTTTAAACAGGTCCCATCCTGAGTGGGCAGTTTTAACTTTAAATGTATTAAACATGAAATTCCTATAGTTTGAATAAATTAACAATGGTTGAAGTATCAATGGTACGGCCCTCACCTTAATAAACCACCATTTTGTACAGGATGGAGTCTGGTATTTCATTTCTCTTTGAAGTTATCGAATCTGTGTGTCTTTGGTATTTTCCATGGCGTTGCTGATCATTACTTTCATTAATTTATCCAGGCATTCAATTTTGGTACATTCATTTAAATCTATTCCCATATCTTTTCAATATGCCACACTAGTTTTAAAAAGTACATACAAATGCAAGTATACAAATACATACAAATGTTTCTTCCCTCTTCGCTTTATCGGCAGACTATTGCACCAATCACCATCCTACTTTGTTTGACAGACACTCATTTCACCCAATCACAGCCTATCTCAGCGCAGGGGGGCGGGTCTTCTCTTCCACTGATTCACAGCCTGTGAATCTATAGTAAGGACGACACAAGATGGCGGCCGTACCGTTCTAGGATCAGCCCGGTGATTTGTGGACCAGCCCCCGGTTTCAACCCCCTGAAGCAGCGAGCGGTGAGTCGCGAATCCCGCTCCTGCTCCCACTCTCATACAACTACTGTTCCCCGTCAATTAAGGATGTTTTGGGCTCGTTTTCTGCCGTAAATGCTTAAGTTAGATTGTAACCGCCATTTTGAATACCATGTAACGGCTACATACTTATGTTTTTGTAACATGACATTATTGACCAAACTTGTTTCTTGCGAAGCACCACACGGTGCAACGACTAAAGCTGAGGCTCGTAACTTCAGTCTCTTGATAACACATTAGTTTATGTTCATCTAACTAGAAAACATCTTATCTTTTGTGTCACATAGAGCCCTGTGAGTCACTATTTGCCCCTTTGGGCTGAGAGCTGATTGGCTGAGGGAGGGTGGTCCTCTCTTTGATCTACAGATGTGACAAGAGACAGAAATACATGATGTGAAACTAGTGACAACTGTTTTAGAGCCAGAGCGAGAGACATGGTTTTTTAAGTTATGTACAATTCTAACTGTTACATTAAATTAAAATACTTACTTGGGTGAAAACTAGAAAACTAACTTTCTCTCTCCGGTCTCTCACCGGTCCCTCTAGAGACCTCTGTGGTCTCTCATCTCCTCTCCCTGGTCTTTCTCTGACGTCTTTTATCATTCATTATTTCTTTTTTCAGAACAGACGACTTTCAGAAACTACAACTTGATGCAACCAAATCCTGAAGAGTTTGAAATTAAAATAGTGTCAGAGTTTGAGAGAAATGTGTTAAATGGTCAGAAACATGATCCAGATTCATCACTGACCTATAGTATACTGCTGTCCTCTGGTGACCATGGACCCCCCACAGAGGGCTGTGGGTCTGGACCCACCAGGGAACCTGGTCTTCACTGTGGTCAAACCCATGGTGGGCCTTCTCCAAGTGTCCGCAGCTGAGACTGGTCCCAGCGGCTCCATGGGCCTTCAGACCCAGGACCAGGGCCTTGTGTCACACATGGTGCAGACTAGTCCAGGCCTGGTGCCACACATGGTGCAGACTAGTCCAGGCCTGGTCTCGCATGTGGTCCAGTCGAATCCAGGCCAGGTCTCAAACATGATCCAGTCGAATCCAGGCCTGGTCTCACACATGGTCCAGTCGAACCCAGGCCTGGTCTCACACATGGTCCAGTCGAACCCAGGCCTGGTCTCACACATGGTCCAGTCGAACCCAGGCCTGGTCTCACACATGGTCCAGTCGAACCCAGGCCTGGTCTCACACATGGTCCAGTCGAATCCAGGCCTGGTCTCACACATGGTCCAGTCGAATCCAGGCCTGGTCTCGCACATGGTCCAGTCGAATCCAGGCCTGGTCACGCACATCGTCCAGTCAAATCCAGGCCTGGTCACCAACATGGCGGTCCAGATGAATACTGAGAGGGCTGAGGTCCAGGATCCAGGTCCAGAGCCGGTGCTAAACCAGGTGGGTCTTTACAGGAGTTTTCAAACTGCAGACCAAGTGGAGGCCCATTTCTCCTTCCACATCTCTTCTAGAGCAGTGATGCTTTTGGGCCCCCTCGCTGGTCTCTCTCTCTTTGGTCTCTGACTGCTCTCTCTGGTCTCCCTCTGGTGTCTCTCTGGTCTCATGTTGTATCTCATCCATAGAACCAGGATTTGGAACCTGACCCGGCTGAGAACCAGAACCAGGACTTTGGAGCAGACCCAGGTCAGTCCGGTGTGGGACACCTGCCTTTTGCTGAGGTGGCTTCACTCCTGGATCCAAACATGAAAGGCTCCAAAGCAAGTATGAGTCTTTTTAACTCATACCATCAACAGTCAGTTCAACTGCACTTCTACCGTCTCTGGTCTCTCTCTGGTCTCTCTCTGATCCCGCCTCTCTCTCTCCTCTCTCTCGTCTGTCTTTTGTCTTCACATGGTCCTTGTCTTTCTCAGGAAAGTTCCTGATCTCGTATGAGGAGATTCGTCGGCGTCTTCTGCCTCCAGAGAAGATGTCTCTGCGTTCCATCGCGGCTTACACTCGTGTGAGCAGAGGCCCGGCCCGAAAGAAGACTCTGCAGGACACTCTGAGGACTCTGGGACTGTCCCCTGGGACCACAACTGCTGTGTCCTCCTCCTTCTCCAAACTCACAGAGGGTAAGAGAGACAGGACCAGGACTGAAACTGGATCTTGACCAGGGCTGAGACTGATCCAGCCACAGTCCTGGTCCTGGTCCAGTCTCGACCACAGCTGTGACACGTCTCTCTCTGGTCTCTTTGGCCTCTCTCTGATCTCACCCTGGTCTCTCTCTGGTCTTCTGGTCCAGGAGACACCAGATCTCTGTGTGAGGACATGAGGGACTTCTCGCAGGAGTACATTGATTATGAGGCTGTGGCAAAACGTCTGATCCCCAAAGTGAACACAGTCCAGCACTGGTCCAAGATCATCGAGACCAGGTACTACAGACCCTCTGCTTTCTCTCAGCTCTCTGGTCTCTCTCTTGGGTCTCTCTGGTCTCTCTCTGGTCTCTGCTCTAATGTCTCAGAGGCAGCTCTAAAGTTAGATACTTGTATAGAGTCTGATGCTGTTGTCTCAGGAACCATCTGGAAGACCTGCGGCAGTGTTTGCTGGACCCGTCGCTCTCTCAGTCCTTCGACAGCGTCACACATGGTCTGGGTCTGGGCATGGTCCACGTGGTCCTGGACCTGGTCTCCTCTGTGATCCAGGCCCAAGTCCGGATCCTGTCGGGCCCCGAGAATCCCGAGCTAACAGCGGACACAAACGCTAACGCTACCATGACGCAACGCAAGCGCAAACTCTGCAGGCGCCACGGCAACGGCAGCCAAGGAGCGGCAGCTATTTTGAAGAGTCAAAGACGGAAAAAGAGGAGACAAAATGGCCAACAGGGGGAGGAGCTTCAGGCTGCAGTACCACCACAGCAGACAGAGGGCAGTAATGTGCTGCTACTGACTGTGGGATATGAGGCTGTGTCCAGTGAACTCAACACCAGCGGAGACTGAACCAGTGAGAGACCAGAGAGAGAGAGAACAGAGAGCAGTGAGAGAGACCAGAGAGAGGGTTGCATAAAGGCATGTATCATGTTATTCGGTCATATGACGATGGAGTGTACATGAGAATTGTGTTACAGTGGGACCAGTGCGAGACGGCAGGACCTCTCAGAACACTCTGTGCCCTGTTCCTTTGTTTCTGTATTTAAACTTATGTGAAGCCAGTAAATGATACAGATTCTGGTCGTTAGAGCCTTGAGGATTATGGCATAGACTGTATATGAGGAGAGGACAGAGTGTGACATCACCACAGTGTTGGTCTTGAAGAAGCTGATTTTAACATAAGCTGTTGCTAAGGCAAGCTGGAGATTCCTCTCTAAATAAAGGCACCTGAGACTAAAGTTACAGTCCCCAGCTTTAAACATGTAACTTTACTCTTGTCAGATCCTTGTGGTCCTGCCATGCTCCACCAGAGGCATTTCATCGAGCTCCCACAAGGATCTGGGATCGAGGGAAATGTAAACGCCTTCAAGTTTGTGACTGTATGCGGAATGCAGCAGGGTTCACGGGGGTAGCACAGACACATCATGCACCTGAACACGGGACAATGTAGTCCCAGAGACAGTGGAAAATATGCAGTCACAATATGATATTAAGTGGTTGTGGCAAAAAGTCAGCAGGACTCGGAAAAGTTCCCAGAGAGTGTCAGCACATACACCGGTGTAAAACAAAGCCTTCATCTTCACATTAGTGTTGAAACTGTAGTTCTGATCCGCCCACTGCTCTCCATCAGTGGAATTTCTCTGAATTCCTTTCATCTCCTCCAGGTTCAGGTTCAGTTGCTGAGTTCAGGTTTACAGCCTGAAAACATCTCTTTAAGGCGGGTCTAGCAGGTGTTAGCTAACAGAAAAAATATCTGTGAAATACGATGAAGGATATTTAAACTATCAATATAAACTTACACAACAATCATAACCCATCTGCAACACAGGATGAATATTTTCTCTTGTGGGTTCAAGCCCCAGTGATCCAAGATGGCGTCCTATTCAAATCAATGATTTGTGCTCAGTAGCGCATGGGGCCTGAAAGTTTAGCAGAACTCCCCCATATTAAGTCTGCAGTACCATGGGGGCCCTCTGTGCCCATAAGTTAAAGTTTATTTAACGAATGCGCTGTTAATGTATGGATGTAAATGTTTAACTTAAAACATCACTGTGTAATACAAATAAACTAACATGTAATAATTTGGCCAATTCCAGAAAGAGTTCCACAAACTCCACTTTGTGAATTACTTATCAAGCAAACGTGTAAACGAGGACAAACATTAAGTAAATGCACATATACAGAATGTACGGGACAAACAGCTTTACGCAGCTATATTCTTAGGACGGCACTGCAGTAATGGCGCCGATGCTTGACTTGCAGATTCCATGCAAACTCCACTCAGAAAGGCCCTGTTCCTCCTGGAATTTGAACCCAGGACTTTCTTGCTGAGAAGTCTTTCTCGCTGAACTAAAGTTACAGACCCCAACTTTAAACATGTGTTATTTATCAGACTAAAGTTACAGACCCCAGCTTTAACCAGCTCACCCTCAGGTAAATAACGTCTTTTTTCAAACAGGAACAAATTATATTGAAGAAAGCGTGTTTTATGGTGAATAAAGTACATGTCATTATTATGATGTTCTGTGTATGAGGTGAGTTTATGTAAATATGAGTTTGTTTTGTTCTTGTCGCCTGCCCTTAGCTCTAATAAGCTCTATTCAGTGAGACTCTTCCTTCGGAGCTCCATCTGCTTTTAATCCAGATCTGCCACCTGTGCACCTGCTGATGCTAAAGCTAACACACTTTTCAGTCCATGAGATCCTATGGAAAGTGCTGTTAGCTCCCCGTGCTAACCAGGAGCAGAGAAGCGGAGCATCTGCAGCATAGACTGCACAGGACGAGACCAGAACAAGACTAGACCAGGACAGAACTAGAACAGGACCAGAACAAGAACAGAACTAGACCAGGACCAGAACAGCAGCGGAGCAGCTGCGGCATGGCTCCTACTGACTCGGGACACAAGACCCAAGACCGGACGACGTCCCAGGACCAGACTAGGACCAACCCCCTGCTAATTTATAACAATGGTGAGTGACGTTTATTTGAACAACTATAATAATACACAAGGCAACTCTAAAGTTCTTCACAAAACAAGGAAGCAAACTTGTGACTGTTGTGGTTTTAAAGCAGACCCCAGCTTAAAGGTGCCATGTTTCGCTTTTCTTAATTCTCACAGTCCATCCTATGCACATGTGTGATAATAATTTGGATGATACACCATACACCACCCAAAACCTGCTCCTCTGTGAGCCCGCCCACACAGTGACGTAGCATCGCTCACTTTGAGGTAAACAAGAGCTAACTACAGCTGTCGCTGTCATTCAGACCGAACTTCGGTCTTTTTCCATTGTTGGAAAATCTGTCACAAAACACAGTATTCCAGATCAGCTTTTGTGTAGGTCACGTCACACGGTAACCGTAGTTCTGGAACAGCCTTAGCTGGTGTCACGTCACCAAAAAAAAACACCTGCGAGTTTTGTTGCGGATTTCAGGATTCGGAGAGAGGGTGCATGATACATGACCATAGAGGGCGCTGATTCGCTGCTTCAGTTTCTCCCTACTGTCAATCACCTCTTGGAGGCGGCCTTTTGACGATTTGAAACAGCTCGTTTCTGTGCCTCTCGAGAATGAAAGAGAAAGATCGCTCTTTAACTAAAGCTTGAGGAAATCAATAAAAAAAACGCCTCTGGGCATTTGTATGAAGCCAAATAGCACTTTTATCATGTTTTAACCAGACAAAAGTAAAAAAGCGTAATATGGGACCTGTATATGCACTTGCTTATAGCAGACCACCTGAACAACGCTCTGGGGGCGATCCGAGTCCTGGGACTGGAGAGAGAGGACCGAGATTTGCAGCCTCATCTGACCACAGTGTTGAAGAGTATTAGAGACAAGAGTAAGTATTGTTACTGCTGCTATTGCTGCTGCTGCTGCTACTGTTATAGTGAATGTGATGCCTGTTGTGTGCAGAGGGGGGCGCGCCAGAGCAGGTGGTGGTCAGTGGAATCCTCCCTGTTTTGGCTTTGACCCTGAGGAACCGTGGCTCTCAGGCCGTTCTGGCCACGAGACTGGTGTCAGAACTGGCAGATCACTGTGAGTGTGACCAGGACAGACTCTGGTCTCTTTGGTGTGTGATGACCAGTGGGGGCGGGTCCCGGCTCAAAAGGGTCCATGACACTGACGCCTTCTTTCCAGCCTAGTTAAGCCTCTATGGACTTTTTGATGCACTCGTTAAATGAATGGGGCTCGTGCAGATCATAGACAGTAAATATTAACGGACGTAGTCACGCTTATCTCCGCCGTTGAAACTAATGTGCCATCACTTTCGGCGTCTATGGGCAGTTTCAAAATGGCCACGGGGACTGGAGAATCTGAAAAAACACATCTAATCATGCGTCAGCCGGCACGAGCCCCAGTCATTTGACGAGTGCCTTCAAAAATCCACAGCGACCAAACTAGACTGGTCCAAAAATACACTCCCCTCAGCATCGACAGCATCTGGAACGTAGCTTTGGGTCAACTTTTGGACCATCCTGTAAAACCGTTTGAGAGGTAAGAAGATGCTATATGTTAGCATTGGCTGACACCGGGTCCACCCCCATTGGCCCAGGGTGGTATTGCAAGCATGTCAGCGCACGTCATTTTGGAAATTTTTGAGCCGGGACCTGCCCCCACTGGTGCAGATGTGTTTCTCACACACATCTGCTCCAGAGGCCACTCTCGGCCATTTTGAATCTGCCCATGTCTGTGGTACATACATTTCAATAGAGGAAAATAGACATCACTATGTCCGTTAATATAGTACTATAGTGATGACTCTCTCCACAGCTCTGGTCCGTAAGGGTTTCCTGGACTCTGGTCTGGTCCCAGCTCTGATCTCGGTTCTGACGAGTCCAGACCAGGATCTGCTGATCCACTCTGCTACAGCACTGGGCCGCATGTGTCGAGAGAGCAGTGAGTGATACCGGGACTGAGACTGTGGTCAGGAACCAGGACTAGGACTGAGGTCAGGAACCAGGACTAGGACTGAGGCCAGGAGCAGACCCTGACTGCCCTCCCCTCTGGTCTCAGCTCAGCTTCAGGACCAGTGTGTTCGATGTGGCGCAGTTCCTCGCCTGGTGTCCATCCTGCTCCGTGCCTCAGAACGCCCCCTGCTGGAGGAGGCTTGTCTACTCGCGCTCTGTAACCTCAGTGGGCGTGACTTGAGTGACGAGGGGGGCGTGGCCTGGGAGAGGGGCGTGTCTGTGCACCCAGGTCAGATACACACTGTACAACTCTCGCTCTGGTCTTTGGTGCTTCATAAACACATGTCTCCCCCCTCCCTCAGGTGAGCGCTGCTTCACTGGATCCTGCCCCCTCCGGCTGTGGGCGGGGTCCTGGGTTACCGTGGTAAGGGTGAGTCAGTTTGCCCCAGGGCAGGTGTGGCAGGTGTCTGTGAATGTGGAGGTGATGAGGAGGTGCACTGCAGGGTCCTGGGAGCGCCTCCAGGGGGCGCCCCACTCACTGTTCAGTGTGGTCCGCACAGGAGCCAACGTCTACAAGGTCCTGAAGAATTGGACCAGGACCAAGACAGGGACCAAAAGGAGACCCAGAAACCTGAGAACCAGAGTGTTTCATACTCTACTATGAGTCCAGGACCAAGACCAGACTAGGACCAGTGGATGCACACGGACATTAATCCTGTTTTGGTGAAACATGTTTTATTTCCATAAACAGAAAGAAGATTTAAATAAAAAACTGCAGAAAATGTTTGTTTGTTTCTTCTTCATATTGTCCCGCTTTAGACCCGTTTTAGTCCTGCTTTAAACCTGCTTCAGTCTTGGTTCTTGCAGCCCTCTCGGATCCATAGTCTCGCTCTTGGACCTTTGAAGTCTGGTCCAGGATCCAGGTCCGGACCGAGGGATCCACCTCCAGCTCCATCGTGACCTCGTTAAAAACTCTACATGTGGAAACCTGCAAAGACAAGAACGTGAGACCAGAAAGAAACCAGAGAGAGACCAGAGAGAGACCAGAGAGAGACCAGAGGGAGACCAGAGGGAGACCAGAGGGAGACCAGAGGGAGACCAGAGGGAGACCAGAGAGAGACCAGAGAGAGACCAGAGGGAGACAGCCTATCAGCTCTCAGCCCAGAGTCGGATAGTGCCTCTCAGGGCTCTTACCTCCGTGAAGCGCAGTTTCTTGAACATGTTGATGCTGATGAGATTTCCCAAACCGATCTTCACCTGGAACCTCATGATGCCTAGTTTAGAGACGGCTGCAGAACACACAGTATTCACTTTATTATTCATTACTAAACATAGTAATTATTATTTATTACTTTATTATTATTTCCTCAAAGTTTCTGACCGTAGCTCATCAGGATGAAGACCACTTCTGTCCCGATACCACGGCCCCTGAACTGAGGCTCTGCAACACAACAGGGTCCACACCATGTGAGCTCTCTCTCTCTCTGGTCCCTCTCTCTGGTCCCTCTCTCTATGGTCTCTCCCTTTCTGGTCTCTTTTGTCCCCCTCTATCTAGTCCCTCTGGTCACTGGTCTCACACACCAGCGATCATAACCTCTAGTTCCGCCTTGCTGGTGTCAGTGGGGTCGGTCACAAACAGGTTGGCGTCTCCCATCATGCACTGCTCCTCAGGGACGGAGGGGTCAGACCAGAGCTCAGAGGACAGGAGTATGAAGGTCAGCTCTGAGACACACACAAGTACACACTGGTTACACACACACACACACACACACACACACAAACAAGCACACACTGGTTACACACACACACACAGAGACACTCACTGTCCTCGTCCTGGCTCCAGCTCGTCTGCATGTCATACTCCTGCTGCAGAGAGAGAGGCTCAGACGCTGTCAGAGTCTGTAGCTCAGGGCTCTGCATCCACACATGGTACCTGAACACACACACATGGTACCTACACACACACATGGTACCTACACACATGTGTATACTCTTGTCCCTCTCTGGTCCCGGAGCTTTAACCATGAGTGTACCACGTGTGTTTGTTTACCTGGGCACGTGCGCGCGGGTGTAGGGCACGAGCACGACCCTGTTTCCCGCCAGCAGCACGTTCTCGTTGATCCTCATCTTCAAAAGAGAGATGTATTTACTTCATGTTTACTTCCGCCTACAGAGCGCCCTGTGGAGTAGCGCCTCTGGTGGACAGGGGCTGTAAGTGCGAGGGTTGGGGAGAGAGAGGAGAGAGAGGAGAGAGAGGAGAGAGAGGAGAGGAGAGAGAGGAGAGAGAGGAGAGAGAGGAGAGAGAGAGGGGAGAGAGATGAGAGAGAGGAGAGAGGGGAGAGAGAGGGGAGAGAGAGAGAGAGAGGAGAGAGGGGAGAGAGAGGGGAGAGAGAGGGAGAGAGAGGGGAGAGAGAGGGGAGAGAGAGGGAGAGAGAGGAGGAGAGAGAGAGGAGAGGGGGAGAGAGGGAGAGAGAGGGGAGAGAGGGGGAGAGAGGGAGAGGGAGGGAGGGGAGGGGAGAGGGGAGAGGGGGGGGGGAGAGGGGGAGAGAGGGGAGAGAGAGGGGGAGAGGGGAGAGGGGAGAGAGAGGGGGGAGGGGAGGGAGGGGAGGGGAGGGAGGGGAGGGGGGGAGGGGAGGGGAGGGGAGAGAGGGGAGAGAGGGGAGAGAGGGGAGAGAGGGGAGAGAGGGGAGGGAGGGGGAGGGAGGGGAGGGGAGGGGAGGAACGGGATTTTTTTTTTTACCTCAAAGTCAAACATTGTGACAGATCAGATGCAGCTGTCCTTATCTTCAGTATGAGACCGAACCTTGTGAGTCACTCTTTGGGCTGAGAGCTGATTGGCCGAGAGAGGGTGGTCGTCAAAGAAATATTTAGATCAACAAAATGTGAAGCCAGCAAACTTTAGAATTGTATTTATTTTCGGACAAAAACATTTACATGATGATAGTGTGTGTGTGTGTCTGTATTAAAGGGGAGGTCCGAGCTGATGCCATCTCTCCACAGCGCCCCCTGCTGCTCCCAGAGCTTCAGTCCAGTGTGAGAGCTGAGGGCCCCGAGCAAACATGAAGGGCCCCAAGATCAGGGCCCCGAGGGGAACCACACCTGAGGCAGAGAGTAAAGCTCAGGTCTGTAACTTTGGTCTTATAACACATGGATAGAGTCTGTTGCTGGTACCTGTCCTCTGGTCCTGGTGCAGTACTTCCACTCTCACACAGCTCTGCTCGGCTCGGCTCGGCTTCAGTTTGAACGAGAAATTCTGGTTTATTCGTGGATCGTCTTCAGAGTCCAGGACTGGACCTCGTCTGGACTTCAGCTGAGACTGGACCTGGACAGAGACCTGGACCACAAGACCTGAGGACCAGCTCACATTACACCTGTGTTCAAAGACCAGGGAGACCAGAGAGAGACCGGTGTGTGTGTGTGTGTGTGTGTGTGTGTTGCCTCAGTCACCTATGTTGTCTTTCAGTCCTCGGGCTCGGACCACTGCTGCTGTGAGTCTGTGTGCTGAAGCATTGTGACTGAGGGACACAAGCACCTCCCCCACACCAGCACTCTGAGGCGAGACCAGAGGGAGACCAGTGAGGGACGAGAGAGGGACCAGAGAGAGACCAGAGAGAGATCGGTGAGAGACAGGGAGAGACCAGACTCAGACTCAGATGCAGACCTGTGCTTCATGGTGTGTCTGTAGCGCCTTCCACTGGACTCTGCCGGTGTGACACAGGTGTCCTCTGAGCGGGACGTCCACTCTGCCCACGGGACGATGGTCTGAGTCCGGACTGAGACTGAGGACGGACAGGCTCAAGGTGGAGACTGAGGCTACCTGCGGGGAGACCTAAGACCAGAGACCAGGACTGAGACCAGGGACTAGGACTGAGGCAAAGACCAGAGATCACACACTGGTCTGAAGTGGCTCTCACCTGGAATACCGTGCTGTGGTGGAACTCAGCAACGGCCCCTGTGGTTCCTGTGGTCTTGGTCTCTGTGGTCCTGGTCCCTGTGGTTCTGGCCCTGGCCAGCAAGTGGCGCCGGTCCTCTGGCAGCAGGCGGAGCTGGATCATAGTGTCTGAGCAGAGACCCGGCGGCAGATTAGAGAGACGCAGCAGAGACACCAGCAGCTGCTCCGAGTCAGGACGATACTGAAGAGAGAAGCAGATGAGGGGGGAGGGGGGGGAGGCGGGGGAGGAGGGGTACAGGGAGGACACCACAGACCCCAGCGGGTACCAGCCTGTGGGAAGACAGGGGACACTCAGACCATGAAGACAACAGACGTCCTCATTATTCATTCACCCCACACACAGTGGTGATGAACTACTACTGTAGCCACAGCTGCCCTGGCGCACACTGACAGAAGCGAGGCAACCAGTCTGTGCCATCAGCCCCTCCCACCACCACCAACCATTCACACACACACCAGACTCACTCTAATGTGAGTGAAGTGTCTTGCCTAAGGACACAACCACAGTTTGGCACTTTACAGCCACAGGCGCCCCAGTGGAACCTGGTGTTCCCAGAGGTCTCCCATCACAGTCCTAACCTGGACCTGTACCAAGACCTGGACCTAGACCCAGTACTCACTGCTGACACTCAGAGACCCACGATGGTTCTGTCCTGGCTGTAGCTCCACGCCTGGTCCTGGTTCTTGTCCTGTTCCTGGTCCTGGCTCTGGGTCTGGATCTGGCCTTTGTTCCAGGTCCTTGAGCTGGACTTCTTCAGGTTTGCGTGAGAAGAATCGTGGTGGAATCTCAAAGGGGACTCCAGCAGGTCTGAATCAGAGACACAGAGGTTCGATTAAAGCTGATGTCTGTGACTTTTAACAACAGAACTCTGTACTGAACCCAGGTTCTGGCTCTAAAATTGTTCTGTCATGAGTCATACATAGTGAGGAAATAACTATGTTAGTGTCTGGTCCTGGTCCTGGACCTGGTCCTGGTCCTGGTCTCAGTCACATCTTTAGATCAGTTTTATTCAGAGAGGACCTGCAGCTGTGAGTGCAACAGTGACTCACAGGGATCTTCCACTAAAGAGAACGATCACAGCAGGTTGTGATCGTTCTGTTGGACAAACTACATGTTATTTATGACACTAAAGTTACATCCCCAGCTTTAAACATGTATTTCGACACAATGTGAGAGATCATGGTACTGACGTAGTCCATGGTACTGACGTGGTCCATGGTCCTGACGTGGTCCATGGTCCTTGTGGCACCAGCGGGGTCAGCTCCTGGTGAGATCTGCGGAGGCGGCTCCTCCTCAGGCACCAGAGGGTTAAAGCTGAGACCAGAGCGAACAGCAGAGCAGAGAGAGAGAGAGCGAGGACCATCTCTGAGGGACACAGGTCATACAAGATGTCTGTCACCTGAGACAAAATGTGCTGTCTCTCTCTGGTCTCTCTCTGGTCTCCTTTTGGTCTCCCTCTGGTCTCTCTCTGGTCTATCTTTGGTCTCTCTCTGGTCTCTCTTAGGTCTCCTTTTGGTCTCTCTCTGGTCTCTCTCTTTAGTCTCCTTGGTCTCTCTCTGGTCTCTTACCGTTCATGGTGCTGGTGCTGTCTCTGGAGTGAAAGTCCTTCTGAAGCAGCTGCATGTTTCCCACAGACGCCTCATTCACACCGAGCAAAAACCAGGATCTAACACTACACACAGTACTCTGCAAAAAGAGATAAGAGAGAGACCAACGAGAGACCAGCAAGAGACCAGAGACAGACCAGAGAGAGACCAAAGAGAGAGCAGACAGAGACCTACATGGATACAGGGAGAACATGCAAAGTACATTCAGAAAGGCCACATCTCTGTTGACCCCAGGAACTTCTTGCTATGATGCCTGAGACATTTAAACGTGTCTCCTTTAAAGCAGCAGGGGGCAGTGTAAGGAGCTTTCTCCGGCTGCAAAAGTTAAGTCTGAGCCAGAGATTGGACCAGGCGCTAACGAGATCAAGCTAATCCACGAGGTAACGGCTAACAGCTAATCTGCCCGGCTCAGAAAAGTCATTCAGAAGCACTTTTCCAGCAGCTTCAGACACAGAAAGATGGACGACTCAGAGCTGCAGCAGTGAATGTGGAAAGTGAAGAATGTGAAGAGTTTGCAATGCTAATCTTTGACCATGTGTGCTAACCATGTGTGCAAATAACTGTCTCCATTTCCAAATCCAAGGTTAAAGCAGGAGCATCACGACCCGCAGGGTAAGTACAACGTCGCCTTAAAGTGCTGCTCATCACACACTTAGCACCGTTAGCAAATGTTTTAGCGTCAGACAAATACTGTTGTGATAGTTCTCCCACTGAAGTGAACCGGTTCCAGATGAATGAACAGTTAATCCAATTTACTTAAACATTAACTAAGTGTCGACTTTAAATTAAACAATTAGAGTCGGACATTTTGATTTTTGTCTCACGACATGTCGAGAAATGATACAATATTTGAAAAGTTAATTTACAGAAACAGATTTAACTGTTTAGAAAATTTGTGAAGTTGTTTTATGCTCTGCGGTGTCTCTCTGGTCTCTCTTTCTGGTCTCTTTCTGGTCTCTCTCTGGTCTCTCCATGGAAGTTCCTGGTTTAATAGTTTGCTCTTACACTAGTAGATAATAGTATTTGGTCTTTGGTCTTTGGTCTTGGTTTGATGTTGTCTCTTGTTCTCAGACCTGGACCATGTCCCGTCCTCCCGCTGACCGCTTCTCCGTCTGCTGCTCGCTCCCCGACTCTGGATCTTTCTGCTCCCAGGACGAGGCTCCAGTCCTGCCCTCCCCCCACAGCACTGCCACCGGCCTACCAGACCCCTGCCCTCGTCACCGCGACCTGCCAGACCCCTGCCCTAACCTGCCGGATCCCTTCCCTCATCACCAGGACCTGCCCTTCAGATGTGGAACCTCGGACCAGAACTGTACCATGAAGAGGTTCCAGAACACGCCAAGTCTGGAGAGCCGCAGCAGCTCACTCGACACCGTGATCTACAGCATGTCGCGGTCTTCAGGCGCCACACGGGACTCAGGCCAGCAGCCCTCACCTCCCGGATCCAACTCCCCACCACCCACTGCCGGAGAGCCACACCGACCTTCAGCGCCATCGCAGACTCCCCACTCTGCCCAGAGACTGTTCTCGCCTCAGTTCTCACCTCTGATCTGCAGGAACATCTCGCCGCTGGCGGCCAGGGAGCTGCTGCGCTTCACGTTCCCGTCTCCGGTCTCCAGCTCCGTCAGTTTAGAGAAGTTTGCAGCAGAAGACCCTCTGTACGCCGCCAAAACTCTGCACACGGACCAAGACTACGACAGGACTCTGCACACGGACCAAGACTACGACAGGACTCTGCACACGGACCAAGACTACGACAGGACTCTGCACACGGACCAGGACTACGACAGGACTCTACACACGGACCAGGACTACGACAGGACTCTACACACAGACCAGGACTACGACAGGACTCTACACACGGACCAGGACTACAACAGGACTCTACACACGGACCAGGACTACGACAGGTATCTACACACGGACCAGGACTACGACAGGACTCTGCACAGGGACCAGGACTACGACAGGACTCTACACACGGACCAGGACTACGACAGGACTCTGCACAGGGACCAGGACTACGACAGGACTCTGCACACGGACCAGGACTACGACAGGACTCTGCACACGGACCAGGACTACGACAGGACTCTGCAGACGGATCAAGACTACAACAGGACTCTGCAGACGGACCAGGACTACGACAGGACTCTACACACGGACCAGGACTACAACAGGACTCTACACACGGACCAGGACTACGACAGGACTCTGCACACGGACCAGGACTTGCAGGAGTTCTGTGACTCGTTAGAGCGACTGGAGAAGCAGGACTCTCTTCTGCAGCAGTCGGTTCAAACTCCTCGTCTTGTCTCGTCCTCCAGCGACTCGTGTTTAGGCGTTTGCCGACGGTGCAGAGAACGTTACCCAACATTCAAGAACAGGAAGTGCCGAGACCAAGGCACCATGACTTCCAACATGGCACTGGCGGTGGATGTCGGAGTCCAGACCTCGTCAAGACTCGGTTCTTGCTGTAACTTGGATTGTTCCAATGTAGACTCTCAGTCAGTCCTGGGGTCTCCCTCAGTCCTGGGGTCTCCCTCAGTCCTGGGGTCTCACTCGTTCCTGGGGTCTCCGCCCGGATCTCGGTTGAACCTGCGCTGCACCGTGGGCTCGCACTCCAACCTGGTCTCGCCGTCCTCCAGCATGTTCGCCATCCACAGCGATGAAGACGAAGGTGAGACCAAACCCGTTCCAGATTAATTAACAGATTATCCAGTTTACTCTCTCTGGTCTCTCTCTGGTCCCTCTCTGGTCTCTCTCTGGTCTCTCTTTGGTCGCTCTCTGGTCTCTCTCTGGTCTCTCTCTGGTCTCATGTTTGATACCTGTCTGAAGGTGATGCAGTGCAGCAGGATGTGTCCTGGGAGACGGAGACAGAGACAGAGACAGAGCAGCGTCGGTCGTGTCTGAAGACGCAGGACGAGAGCCGTCAGCTCGGGCAGCGGCGCAGCAGTATGAAGCAGGTTCACATCCATTCTATTTATTCTTATATCGCCCTAAACCACAACACTAGTTTTCTCTGAGGTCTATACAAAGCTGTCGATTCGCCAACACAGATCAGAGAATCAAAAGGTTCAACCACAGCAAATAGAATAACAAACACAAAGATATTGGTCCATAAGGAGCGGGACGTCCTGGTCCTCACCCAAACTGCTCCTCATGGTCAAAACACCAGGAGACTGAGAGCAGACATGTTTAAATGATCACAGATGTGTTTCAAGGATGTTCATGAATGTGGTTAAACAGGTGCAGTGGGACGAGGACGGTATGACCTGGGACGTCCACGGCGCCGCCCTCGACCCCGAGGAGCTGAACATGGCGATCCAGAAGCACCTGGAGCTGAGGTGCTCTGAGGAGCCGCAGGAGGAGCAGGAGGAGCAGGAGGAGAAACACAAACAGAAGAAGAAATCACCCAAGAAGAAGAGAGCGCCCAAACCCCCGCAGAAGCCCCCGCTGATTCTGATCGAAGGAAAAAGCAAAGAGGAGACAAGAAGGAGTGGGGGGGAGGAGGGGCACGTGGAGGAGGCCCAGGAGGAGGAGGTGAGGAGAGGGTCTCAGTCTCCAGGAGTCATACAGAAGAGGAAGCTTTCATTCAAGACACCAGGCTGGTGTGGAGGCACCAAGAACCAGGACTAATGAGAGGAGAGGAGAGAGAGAGGGGGGAGAGGAGAGAGAGAGGGGAGAGAGGAGAGGAGAAGAGAGGAGACAGAGGAGAGGAGAGGAGAGAGGGGAGAGGAGAGAGAGGAGAGGAGAGAGGGGAAGAGGAGAGGAGAGAGGGGAGAGGAGAGAGAGGAGAGGAGAGAGGGGAGAGGAGAGGAGAGAGGGTAGAGGGAAGAAAGAGAGGAGAGGAGAGGAGAGAGGGGAGAGGAGAGAGAGGAGAGGAGAGAGAGAGGGGAGAGAGGAGAGGAGAAGAGAGGAGACAGAGGAGAGGAGAGGAGAGGAGAGAGGGGAGAGGAGAGAGAGGAGAGGAGAGAGAGGAGAGGAGAGGAGAGAGGGGAGAGGAGAGAGAGGAGAGGAGAGAGGGGGAGAGGAGAGGAGAGAGGGGAGAGGGAAGAAAGAGAGGAGAGGAGAGGAGAGAGGGGAGAGGAGAGAGAGGAGAGGAGAGGAGAGAGGGGAGAGGAGAGAGAGGATAGGAGAAAGGGGAGAAAGGAGAGAGAGGGGAGAAAGGAGAGAGAGAGGGGAGATGAAAGAGAGGAGAGAAGGAGAGAGGTTCAGTGGGTTCAGGGCAAGCTAACACCAGCTGCATGTGTACGGTTTACTGTTACTGAAGAAGGACCATGTGTCGGTTGAACACACCTGGTGGAAGAGAACGCTAACGAGCACGGTCCTCACAGTCCAAACAAACAGGTCACTCATGTGATTCTGAATCAACAGTGTTTGTAAATACATGTAAAATAATAAAAAAAAGTGTCACAAACTTGTTTCCAATGTCTGTACACATGGAACTGATCTCTCTCTGGTCTCACTTTGGTCTCTCTCTGGTCTCATTCTGGTCTCTCTCTCCCTGGTGTCTCCCTGGTCCCTCTCTCTCTCTCTGGTCTCTCTCTCTCTGGTCCCTCTCTCTCTCTCTGGTCTCTCTCTCTCTGGTTACTCCCTCTCTGGTCTCTCTCTGGTTTCTCCCTCTCTGGTCCCTCTCTGGTCTCTCTCTGGTTTCTCTCTCTCTGGTCTCTCTCTGGTTTCTCCCTCTCTGGTCCCTCTCTGGTCTCTCTCTGGTCTCTCTCTGGTTTCTCCCTCTCTGGTCCCTCTCTGGTCTCTCTCTGGTTTCTCTCTCTCTGGTCCCTCTCTGGTCTCTCTCTGGTTTCTCCCTCTCTGGTCCCTCTCTGGTCTCTCTCTGGTTTCTCTCTGGTTTCTCTCTCTCTGGTCCCTCTCTGGTCTCTCTCTGGTTTCTCCCTCTCTGGTCTCTCTCTGGTCTCTCTCTGGTTTCTCCCTCTCTGGTCTCTCTCTGGTCTCTCTCTGGTTTCTCTCTGGTTTCTCTCTCTCTGGTCCCTCTCTGGTCTCTCTCTGGTTTCTCCCTCTCTGGTCTCTCTCTGGTCTCTCTCTGGTTTCTCCCTCTCTGGTCTCTCTCTGGTCTCTCTCTGGTTTCTCTCTGATCCCAAAATAGTGTGTGTGACACAAATGTTACCGAGAGATTAATTTTACATGGAAAACAATAGGAACCAAACTTCATTGATTTAGCCGGTTAGCTAGCAGTCTCAGTCTACAGTGCCTTGCGAAAGTATTCGGCCCCCTTGAACCTTTCAACATTTCGCCACATTTCAAGCTTCAAACATAAAGATATAAAAATTACATTTTTTGTCAAGAATCAACAACAAGTGGGACACAATCGTGAAGTGGAACAAAATGTATTGGATATTTTAAACTTTTTTAACAAATAAAAAACTGAAAAGTGGGGTGTGCAATATTATTCGGCCCCCTTGCGCTAATACTTTGTAGCGCCACCTTTTGCTGCAATTACAGCTGCAAGTCGCTTGGGGTATGTCTATATCAGTTTTGCACTTTGAGAGACTGGAATTCTTGCCCATTCTTCCTTGCAAAACAGCTCGAGCTCAGTGAGGTTGGATGGAGAGCGTTTGTGAACAGCAGTCTTCAGCTCTTTCCACAGATTCTCGATTGGATTCAGGTCTGGACTTTGACTTGGCCATTCTAACACCTGGATACGTCTATTTGTGAACCATTCCATTGTAGATTTGGCTTTAAGTTTTGGATCATTGTCCTGTTGGAAGATAAATCTCCGTCCCAGTCTAAGTTCTTTTGCAGACTCCAACAGGTTTTCTTCCAGAATGGTCTTGTATTTGGCTCCATCCATCTTCCCATCAATTTTAGCCATCTTCCCTGTCCCTGCTGAAGAAAAGCAGGCCCAAAGCATGATGCTGCCACCACCATGTTTGACAGTGGGGATGGTGTGTTCAGGGTGATGAGCTGTGTTGCTTTTACGCCAAACATATCGTTTTGCATTGTGGCCAAAAAGTTCCATTTTGGTTTCAACTGACCAGAGCACCTTCTTCCACATGTTTGGTGTGTCTCCCAGGTGGCTTGTGGCAAACTTTAAACGAGACTTTTTATGGATATCTTTGAGAAATGGCTTTCTTCTTGCCACTCTTCCATAAAGGCCAGATTTGTGCAGTGCACAACTAATTGTTGTCCTATGGACAGACTCTCCCACCTCAGCTGTAGTTATCTGCAGTTCATCCAGAGTGATCATGGGGCCTCTTGGCTGCATCTCTGATCAGTCTTCTCCTTGTTTGAGATTAAAGTTTGGAGGGACGGCCGGGTCTTGGTAGATTTGCAGTGGTCTGATACTCCTTCCATTTCAATATAATTGCTTGCACAGTGCTCCTTGAGATGTTTAAAGCTTGGGAAATCTTTTTGTATCCAAATCCGGCTTTAAACTTCTCCACAACAGTATCTCGGACCTGCCTGGTGTGTTCCTTTGTCTTCATGGTTCTCTCTGCACTTTAAACAGAACCCTGAGACTATCAAAGAGCAGGTGCTTTTATACGGAGACTTGATTACACACAGGTGCATTCTATTTATCATCATCAGTCACTTAGGACAACATTGGATCATTCAAAGATCCTCACTGAACTTCTGGACTGAGTTTGCTGCACTGAAAGTAAAGGGGCCGAATAATATTGCACGCCCCACTTTTAACTTTTTTATTTGTTAAAAAAGTTAAAATTATCCAATACCTTTTGTTCCACTTCACGATTGTGTCCCACTTGTTGTTGATTCATGACAAAAAATTAAAATTTTATATCTTTATGTTTGAAGCGTGAAATGTGGCGAAATGTTGAAAGGTTCAAGGGTGCCGAATTTTTTCGTAAGGCACTGTATGTTTGGCTCTTTTCTCTTTGTTTGGTGGTCACTTCTGTTCTCTTCAGGGAAGTTACGAACAGCAGCTTTAAAAGTGTCTGTTATTCACTCCACTGACGCTGGGGTCACGTAGAGGTCACGCAGAGGTCACACAGAGGTCACATGCTTCCAGTGGAGTTGTTGTTGTTGTGTTGTTTTTGTCCTGTATGTCGGGGAAAGTGCTGATGCTCGGACCACAAAGTGCCTGAAGCCTCCAGCGGGGGCCTGTACTCACCCTGTGTACCCCCCTGCGTCCCCCCCTCCCCCCTCTCCCCCTGGTCCTGTATTTAAGAGCTGGCACCAGGGCAGATTTGTCGCCGTGACGATGGAAACTCCACTGCTTTGTTTGCTGCTGCTACTCACAAGTCAGATCCCAGGAGAGACACACACACTGAGGCGACAGCAGCACAACATCCTGCACCTGGGTGAGAACCACACACACACACACACACACACTGTATATTCCTATACCTGTATATTCCTATATATTTCTGTATATTTCTGTATCTTAAAGATTGGCCGACAGACTGTGGGACGCCTCACTTCAAACCAAACATGGCCGAAAGAATCGTGTCGGGAAACGAGGCACGACCGCACTCCTGGCCCTGGCAGGTCTCACTGCAGGTAACTGTAACTGTAATGGTTCAGACCAGATCATGCGTTGCGTCGGCTATCAATGCAAAGTCTATGGTGACGACCGTTCGAGCGTCACAACGTACGGACCTCTCGGCACGCACGGACGGACTGTTCAGTAGACACGCACGGACTTGGCGGGAAAGTCAAAGGGGAAGAGCAGGAGCGAAAAATGGACGCCTACAGGAGATGGATTCTGCTCATCCTTTCCTTGGGACGTTCGTGCGACAACCAATCAGAGAGCAGCAAAGTGGTCACGGGGACATTAGCGGACTGAGCAAGCAGACTAAAAATACTCGTAAACAGCCAAAACAGGACTCACACCAGGCTTCACCAGAACTCAAACCTGGGTTGACAATGGGGGACTCTGTGCTTGTGAAAATATGCGTTGTCATGCTCCCGTGACCTTATGCAACTGCTTCGAGTGTGTTCGCCGATCCGTGAACACATACTACTGTTATATAAAGCCCGTGGAAGGTCTCTGAGCAAAGACACGCTGTAAAGCTGCATATTGGAGAAGATCTGAACACAAGAAGCCGCTAGCTAAACTCTGTTAGCATCATAAGCTGCCGGCTACTTCCGGCACTTCCGGTGCGCGTCAGGACATCTCGGTGTGAAGACGTCTGCGTCTGGTGAGCGGGGCTTCAGCGTTTCAGCGTTGGCGGTCTGAAAGCACCATAAAGCCAAGTGTATACTCGCGCGGCGCGGAGCTTACGGAGGTGACGTGACGTCACTTGCGCAACGCGTTGGTCACCGCAAGGTCCTTACATTGCCTGCCGCGCAGCATAGACATTTTCTAACTACGTAAGGGTCGCCGCAAGGAAGCTCCGCTGTGATTGGTCTGTGTGTGTGTATCGGAAGGAAGCACGGAGCGGCTGCAGGAGCATGGACGAGGCACTATGGAGCAGAGAGCTTTGTGCTTCGAAGAAACCAAAGGAAAAGTAGTTTGGGCTCAGAGCCTGATATACAGGAGACTGTGGACTATGTAACATATATATAACTTATAAACTGTGCAGTCGTTTGTTTTGCACTGTTCCTGTCTTGTTTGAATCGTAGCTGCGTTTGTTGCTTTCCTCCTGCACTCGTAAATCGTTCATGTTTGTCTCAGATATTTACCACTATTATTGTTTTGCTGTTTGTGCTGAAAACTATTTAATAATAACTATGTTTCCAACAAGAACTGTGTCTTTATTCACAGCATCACAGTTGAAATGACTTATAAAATAATGAATCCATAAAACTATCACATAAACCTGCAGTAGAAACACGTGTAATGAGCTCAAACAGCTTTGTTTGCTATTGTTGTTCTGAAGAGGACAAAGTAGCAGCGTAAATGGGACCGCTCCTGTGTGATCGCCCTCATGTGGTTTGTTGTGGGATTACAGCATTCTCCTCAAAACTCCGTAAGGGGAACGCGGCAGTATAACATCAATTGTGCTTACGTAGGTCCACCACAACCGCTAACGTAAGCCACGCCGCGCAAGTATACACTAGGCTTCACTGACTGCCCCCCGCCTGACCACGCCCCCTCAGACTGACCACGCCCCCCGTGATCCCTGGAGGAGTGAGTCCCGAGTGTGAGCCAAAGTAAAGGCCCCCTCGTCTCTGCACGGACCATAATCAGATCAGTCTCATGGTCTGTTGATCTGTCAGACTGACCACACCTGGTACCAACCGCTGATCAGAGACACGAGACCATCAGGGTCTCAGAACATGTGATGATAAAGCAGAACTTGCCTATTATTAAAACCTTCTGAGGATTAAACATGAGACATAATAAAATGAACACAGTACATTTAGTAACTGCAACTGTCCGTGTCCAAGTCCGAGTCTGACCTGTGTCTGTGCTGCAGGTTCGTCCTCGTGGGAGCAAACACTACATCCACGTGTGCGGAGGAACTCTGGTCCATAAGAACTGGGTCCTGACTGCAGCGCACTGCTTCCAGAAGTAACAACACACCAACAACTCTCTGGTCTCTCTCTGGTCTCTCTCTGGTCTCTCTCTGGTCTCTCTCTGGTCTTTCTCTGGTCTTTCTCTGCTCTCTCTCTGGTTGTTACGACCCAGCTCTGCTAGGGTATAGGGAGGTAACAACAAAAACCAAGATGTTATATAGCAAAGCAAGTATTTTAAAAACAGGCATGTAAATGATAAAGTAAACATAAATCAGGACACAGTACAAGACATAAGGGGGTAACTCAACTTTACCAGAACAAAACCCAGTCTAAACCTTGATGTAACTATCTTGATCTCCAAAATGTTATACAAGCATCTGAAACACTGTGAAAACTACAAAGATAAAGGCGAGCTTATTGTAGATTTCTATACAGTACAAAATAAAAGACACAATTAAATAAATAAAGTTACTGTGTGCGCCTTAATAGACTAATCGTATAATAATACTCTTTCCGAGCTGCAAAAACCTCTCTTTATCACAGCATACTACTCCATTTCTCCTTTAGAAACAAACTTAAACAGTAGAAAATATGGCCATGTGTTGCCGTGGCAACCATAGCGTCAGTTACACTCAGTTATAACTTGAGTTGTCACGGTGACCTTAGCGCCAGTTACACTTAACATTAATACACAGAAACACCTAAACTGACTGCTGTCTCAACAAAAGCAAAGTGTCACAAAAACAAAACCTCAAAATGACAATTAAAAAGAGACAAACCAAATAAAAGCTACAGGGACCATACAAACTATGTCTCTAATGCAAGCCCCGGTGATCCAACATGGCGCCGTATTCAAATGAATGGTTTGTGCTCAGTGGCGCATGTGCAGGCACGGTCGCTGACATATTAGCGGAACTCGCCACATCACTCGCTATATCCAAATATAGCGAGTCTGGTCCTACTGGTTCTGCGCAGTGGATGAGCTCCCATGATGCACTGCGCCAAAAACGCGTGTGTGGCTTTCATGCACGTGCACAGAGAATCCCCCGAGCACATGGGTTCTTCAGCTCCAAGCTAGTAATACCCAATTAGAAGCTAGTAATACCCAATCCAGTTATTATAATAGATCCATGGTCTATTGTCGTTGTCACACCTTGTGACATTCAGCATGAGGACAAAATGGCATACCAGCCACACACAGGTGTGGAGTGTGGCCTTACGTGGGAGTGACTCCGGGTGGGGAAGCTGGATTGGCCAGGTTTACAGCTGCTCCTCCAATCAGCACCTGAGTCATGGACCACTGGGAGATGGGAGGGCCAGTGGTTCTCCAATCACAGGACAGGACTCCAGAGACAGGGGGGACTGTCCAGAGACTGGTCTCTATCTATGGTGTTTCTCTGGACTCTCTATGGTCTCTCTCTGGTGTTTCTCTGGTCTCTCTCTCTCTGGTCTCTCTCAGGACCAAGACCAGGACAAAGACCAAGACCTAGACCAGGGCTACACATGTATGATATCAGCTGTGCTCTTAAATGCATCTGCTGGCCTGGTCTCAGTAGTATCCAGTCTGTATGGACATGTGTCCTCATGGTCTCCATGGCGGTAACATATGGTAACATATAGTTATATATGGTCTCCATGGTCCTTAGGGGGAAGGCGGAGGAGGCCAGCAGCTGGAGGATCGTGGTGGGCAAACACAGACTGAGAAGATCAGAAACAGCAGAGCGAGTGTTTCCAGTGAAGAGGATTTATCGACATGAAAACTTCCGCTACCCGAGCCACAGCGAGCTGGACTTTGACATTGCTCTAGTCCGAGCCGCCTCAGACATCCTGCCCTCACAGTACATACGCTACGCCTGCCTGCCGCGCAAGACCACCAGCCTCAGGCCAGGGCACTACTGCTGGGTCACAGGCTGGGGGGACACCAGAGGTGAGGGGGGAGAAGGGGGAGAGGGGGGAAAGCAGCAGTGAGGGGGAGGAGTTAACAACATCTGGTAATGTGAATCGGGTGATAGCTCTAATTGCCACCTGCTCCAGAAATGGATTAAGAGAAAGTACTAATACACTGTCACCACATCCCCCCCCCTCTCTCCTCAGGGGGTAAGGAGAATGTGTCTCTGGCTGAGTCTCTGAATCAGGCTCGTCTCCCAATCATCGACTTTAAAACGTGTCGACAGAAGAAGTTCTGGGGCGACCGCGTCCGCGACTCTATGATCTGTGCGGGGTTCAGGGACACAGAGGACCCTCCAGCAGCCTGCCAGGTACCTGACCTCTGACCCCTGACCCAGGATGTTATTGTTCTTGTCTTGTGCTCCTCTTACTGTCCTTTAAATGCAACACTGACATTTCACTGTGGAATGGGTAAAGAATCTCTTCCTCTTCACCCCCCCCCAGGGGGACTCAGGCGGCCCCCTCCTCTGCCAGTTGGACCGTGAGCGCTGGGAGGTGCATGGTGTGGTGAGCTTTGGCCCCATCGGCTGCACAGTGGAAAACAAGCCCAGTGTCTTCACCAGGACCAGGACCTACATCCCCTGGATCGAGGCCACCAGGATCCGGGACTTCTTCCTCCACTGAGACCAGAGAACAGGAACAGGACCAGGACTGAGACCCAAGACCACAAAAGAACTCAAATAAAGCTCACGTCTCTAATTCCTGGCTCTAAAACAATTTGTTGTGTGACTAGTAAAATCGGGCGCTCTGTCTGCTCTGGAGAGCAGTTTCAGTGACAGACTTATTCATCCTCACTGTGTGAAGGAGAAACAATGAACACTGCCAACCTGATCTCACGTGTCATGCATCGGTGCAATATCTTTAACTAATGTGAGAATGTGCAATAACCACATGTCATGTCACTTTACTGAGTCACTGTCACATACTGCTGCTTATGTACAGATGCTAACATATTGCTTGCACTAGAATACACAGTACTTTAAACTTGCTTATTTTGCCAAATGTAGAGATTTTATACTTGTTTATTTGATGCCAGAGTAAGAGATTTTATTTGATTTGAATTAGTATAGACTTATTGTTCATTTATCTTCAGCCGTGTGCTCCTCAATCCTACTGTCTTGTAACAGGTGCAACACTGAAATGTCTCTATGGGACGAATAAAGGATCTCTTAATCTTTTTTTAACCCAGAGGGAAATTAAAATGTGTCTTGCTCCAGTTTTCACATCTTCAGATACGTTTTTACAGACTGAACCACCCTCACTCTGCTCTCCGCCCAAAGACAGATGCTTTGGGCTCATTTGGATCCCAGAACATGACAAACCATCGCTCTAGAACTTTCATTTTGAAAAGATGTTGAAACGTCACAGTTGGACAGGAGTCTGGCAGAACCTGGACCAATCAGATGAGAGAAGACCCGCGGCAAACATTTTGTGAAAGAACAAAACTTTCTAAACCTCACTGTGACCCTGTTGGAAACACGCTACACGAATAAACTTTTCTCACTCATCAACACGCTGTGGTTTGTAAGTTATTTTAATTGTATACAGTCCACGTAACATTCACACATTTCCAGAACATTCCAGTGGCGGCCAACTTGTCCCAGTTCAGGGGGGGGGGCTTTGGTGAAAGTTGTTGTGGCAACGGAGGACGCCATTTTGACAACTCAACGACAAGTAGTTTTTGAAATAAATTAAATTGGCTTTTTAAAGCTGGGGTACGCAACTTTCATACCACAACAACAGATCTAATACAGATCCCCTTTTTTCACTCAGAACTCAATCAGTTCTCAGCCAAAAAAGTCAAATAGTGACTCACAGGGCTCTTTTTTACACAGGAGATAACATGTTTATGAGGCTAAAGTTACAGACCCCAGCTTTAATAACAAGTGGACAGAGCACTACATTAGTCACAAGCTCTTTGATTTGAGCTCTTGGAATCCATTGTCTCTGGTCTCAGGTGTGGATCAGTTTTGAGTCTCTGGTCCAGGCCCCATGGTCCAGGCCCCATGGTCCAGGCCCCATGGTCCAGGCCCCATGGTCCAGACCCCATGGTCCAGACCCCATGGTCCAGACCCCATGGTCCAGGCCCCATGGTCCAGGCCCCATGGTCCAGGCCCCATGGTCCAGGCCCCATGGTCCAGGCCCCATGGTCCAGGCCCCATGGTCCAGGCCCCATGGTCCGGGTCAGTAGAGGCGTGAGGGGGAGGAGGAGCCCGTCAGATGGTCCCAGTTGTTGTATAGTGCGTAGGCCCCGGACAGAGCCAGACCAAGCAGACCTCCACGCGCTGCTCCTTTAAGACCACCTGGAGAGAGGGCAGATTCAAAACTGAGTACACTGCTGTAACCACGGAGCAGAGAGCCTACTGAGTCCAGACCAGCAGATACGTCAAAGAGCACAGGAGACAACCAAGCTGATATGAGAAATAAGTACTCTTGGTCTCCCCCTGGTCCGGGGTTTCTCTCTGGTCTCTCACTCACTTGCAGATTTGAATAGGACTCCTGTCATGGTTCCAGCTGCGATGGTGTTGACGTCGTCTTCTGCTCCTCGTGCTTTTTCTATGGCAACTCCGAACGCACTGTACAACAAGGCTGAGACACAGATTTCAAGTTACAAATAGGCCGGTCACGATAACAATGCTGGACGATTGTCTCAGAAATTATTGCGATAAGCAATAATATTGTCGTTCTGAGATCATTTTAATCTAATACAATGATAATGATGCAGGTACACCTTTTCAAAGAGAAATAAACTTTTATTTTTAAAGATTTTTAAAGTAGCGGGCGGACTTTGATGCTAGCGGGGTTAAGCTAGCGGCTTTTTGTGTAAAGTTCTTTGTCAATAATGCAGCTCTGCCTAGTTTAGCTCACCTTGACTTGGACATAAAGCAAAAGCTTGTCCTGCCATCTTCAGAATCAGAATCAGAATCAGAATCATTTTTTCTCTTCACCGGTGAGTCTGCTCCGTGTGCAGAGGCCCGTACTGCACCTCGCGGGACAGTTTTCCGGACCAGCGGTAAATCGTGCCATCTAAAATCCTAATGGTTAACCTACGGCGGGCTTTTATAAATCGCGATTAGCGTAAAACCGGTTAATCTCGGAAACCCTAGTCTCTGACCCTGGCGCCGATCTCGGCCCCTGACCCTAGTGGTCCTGGTCTCGGCCCTGGTCCTGGTACAGACCTACTGATCCCAGCGAGTTGGCCCAGGTGGCTCCTTGTCTCGTGACCATGTTGAGAATCCTGTTGAGACAAAGTCAAGTTTATTTCAGATAAAAAAAACTTCTAGAACAGTGATGATTGACAGATTCTCACTGGACGTTTCTGGGTTTGGACCAGGACAGGTCCCTCGTCTCCTTCAGGCCCAGTCTGAAGCCGTTCAGGGCCCCCAGCGCTGCTCCTGGATCACAAGACACAAAACCATCACTCTCTAGAGCTGGAACAATTATGTGAGTAATGTTTATTTTAGAGACTTTCTAACCGTGTTTCTAACGTGTTTCTAACCATGTAACTTTGTAATCTTTTACAAGGCTCAACATTACCGTTGTCCGCTTGCCCGGGGCAACAAAAGTGCGCTGTTTTAGCAAGTTGCCTGATTGGGAAAGTGATGTATGACTAACTGTGCCGTTCATCTGTGTTGGTGATGTCAATGGTTTTGTTAAGTCCTCAGAGATGACTACTGTTGTGATTTAGGGCTGTACAAGACTAAATCATAGACTGTATATATTAACGAACGTAGTCACGCCTATCTCCGCCGTTCTAACTAATGGGCCAAAAATTGGGCTTTCATGGAGTGACTAAAAATGGCCGTGGGGGCTGGAAAATGTGAAAAAAGGCATCTGCGCATGCGTCAGCCGGCACGAGCCCCATTCCTCAGTTTCAGTCCAGGGTCGTGGGTCCAGTCCGTGATGCCGTCAGGAACCTGGGAGTTGTTTTTGACCGGGAACTGAACTTTAAACAACAAATACATGCTGTTGTCAAAGCCAGCTTTTTCCAGCTGCGCCTTTTGACCAAGGTGAAGCCCTTTCTCTCACGCCAAGACCTCGAGAAGGCAACGCACGCATTTATCAGCTCTCGGTTGGACTATTGCAACGCTCTCTACTCTGGCCTCCCACAGTCGTCACTCAACCGGTTACAGTTGGTGCAGAATGCAGCAGCCCGTCTTCTCACCGGTTCATCTAGATACAGCCACATCACTCCTGTCCTCTCCTCCCTGCACTGGCTCCCGGTCCGTTTTCGGATTGATTTTAAAATGTTAATGCTTGTTTTTAAAGCTCTTCATGGTCTCGCTCCGTTATATTTAACTGAGTTGTTGACCGTACATCGCCCCAGCAGAGCTCTCCGGTCTGCCAATCAAATGGTTCTGGATGTGCCCAGGTCCCACTACAAACAGTGGGGCAAACGTTCCTTCAGGGTTGCAGCGCCTAAACTGTGGAACAGCTTGCCACTCAGTCTGCGTGTTCTCACGGACCTGTCCCTTTTTAAGTCCAGATTAAAGACTCATCTTTTTAAACTTGCTTTTAATACTTAGGGCACACTGAATTGTGTCTTGGTTGTTTTCATTTTGTGTTTTAAATTGTTTTAATCTCTCTGTGAAGCACTTTGGTCCTCCTGGTGTTGTTGTAAAGTGCTATACAAATAAACTTTGATTGATTGATTGATTCATTTAAACGAGAGACTTCAAAAATTCACGAGTAAACTAGGCTGGTCCAAAAAAAATGCACTCCTCTCAGCATTGACACACACAGCTTTGGGCCAAGAGCCAACTTTTGGACCATCTTGTAACAACGTTTTAGAGAGGTAAAAAGATGCTATATGTTAGCATTGGCTAATTCTTATTCCGGGTCCACCCCCATCGGCCCGGGGGTTTGTATTGCAAGCATGTCAGCGCACGTCATTTTTCCCACTTTTGAGCCGGGACCCGACCCCACTGGAATAAACGGTATTGTATTGTAACCCATTCAGGCCGGGAACGCATTCTAGCATTTCTTCCTCTGGAGCGGACACATTTGTTTTTCTCTTCAAAGTTTTCAACGGATCCGCAATTCCGCCTTTATTCCGCTTTCAATGTCATTTCTGTGTAATGTGTGACTGCAGGCACTTTCTGTTCGCTGTACGCACTCGAACACGATTTACATCCTCCGTTCTGACCCCGGGGCAGCTGCGGCCGCTTTTTAATGACAGCCGCTTTAACAACAGCTCAGCAAACGCACAGCCGTAACGTGGTACTGAGCGCGGATTATAGACCATCCGCAGTTTGTTGCAAGTGCGGGTCTCACCAGTGTCTCCTACCTATGCGCAACCAAAACTCATGAAATCAAAGCTCAAGTACCTAAATTTCCCCTTGCATTAAAAATGCATGTGCACAAAATATTGGGAACAAATCAAACAGAACACACAACGGCCAGCGTCTTGTTTTTATATTTTGCATACTTAAGTGAATCTTTTTGGGCTGAGAGTAGTTTTGTTCCAAAGTTAGTGCCACTTTATTGCCAAACTCTTGTTAACTCATTGTATTGAGAAATACTTGGGCAAGTAACTTTTGACATTGGGCAAGTAAAATATAAATGGTACTTGCCCGAGAGGCAAGTGGCTGACACAGATCAATATTTGAGTTGAGAACATCTTTGTGTGATTAATTGTAAAGTGTTAAAAGCATGGCCCTAGTGTATCTATGTAGGCATTTTACCATGTGCTAGAAATGACAGCATGCAAACGATAAGACCCCCGTGTCCTCACCGCTCATGCAGGAGCCTCCGATGGTGAAGAAGGCCAATTCAAACCTCCCTCTGGTTTTGTTCGCTCCAGTCGGTAAAATGAACTCATCTGTGTCCTGAAACAGAAACACACGTTATACCATGTGTGTGGGACAAAAGAGACACCAGCGAGAGAGCAGAGGGAGAGGGAGAGACCAGAGAGAGACTTAGTGATGTCACAAATAAACATCAGCCAATCTCTAATAATTACTAGAGGAGAGAATATTCACCTGAACCAGATACCGAGGGTCGACGTTGAGGTACGGAGAGAGAGGGCTCATCCCCGTCACTGCACAAACACACACATCACACATGGGGCCAGGACATCTGGACTGAGTCTCTTGCCAGAGGTCTGTGCTCTAGGAGTGCTTTACTAGTTCATCCCTATTTTATTATGATCCCCAATTCCCCATTACTGGCACTTTAAAACTAAGGTACATGGCTTTTAGACCACAATAGTGAAACTGCGGTCTCAGTCCCAGGTTAGGTTTCCACATCCTGTGTTTCTGGTCTCCGTCACATCTTTAGATCAATTTTTTAATACAGAAAAGTGACGAAGAGAGGACCACCCTCACTCAGCCAATCAGCTCTTAGCCCAAAGAATCAGATAGTGACTCAGAGGGTCACTATATGACACGTTATGGTCCAATCGACTCCTAGTTCAAAATACTTGTTATTTATGAGACTAAACTTACAGACCCCAGCTCTAGACATGTGTTATTAATAAGATTAAAGACCCCAGCTTTAAACCCAACACCATCTACATTTACAATCTATGAATCTACCACAACTATGCTCGAAATAGCTTAAACAAAATGTCAGAACCACATTATAAGTGATGTCACACTTACACGGGACTCCTGACAGCTCAGTGTTGGAGTATTCCGGGCCCCCTCCTCCAAACAGCCCCCCCAGGCCGCCCTTGAAGCCCCCTGATCCCGCTGAGTTGTTGTCCATCACCGGGTTAAGCAAAAACCGCCGAAAAACAACCAAAACTCCACCGAACTGGAGCTAAATGCGCTAATGCTAACACGAGCCGCTAGCTGCAGGCAGTTAGCTGTTAGCCCGTTAGCTCCCGGAGGATAACCGTCCAGGATTCAGAGCCTTTCTCCCGCAGACACGGCTCTAGTCAATGGCTGATGTGCAGGTCAGGCTCGGTGGAGAAGTTTCAGGGGTGAGCGCAGTGAATTCGCGGGTATTAAGTGTGTTAGTGTCGCGCTATGAGGCTTTAATGGCCATGTTTGCGGTGACCTCTGAAGCTACACGCGTCTTCACTTCCTGCGTTATGCAGCCGGGGTTGCCAGATACGGAGGAAAAAAGTAAAAGGCACTAAATAAGTTACCATAGCGACGCGTAACTACGTAAAATTAAAATTTACAACTATTTGGGACAATTTTAACACGAGGCATTTTCACACAATAATTGCACTGACGCATCTCATCAGCAGTGGCGGAGCCAGAGGGGTAGCCAGGATGGCCACTGCCACCTCTAAAAATATCCTTGCCACCCCCAGTGCCCCCCTCGGAAGACCGCAATGTAATAATGTTAATCTTGAGAATCTTCCGCACTTTTTCCGGCAAAAGCTAAAAATTCCCACGGTTTCCCCCGTCTGTGAACGCACCCTGACTCCGTGTGGAGCCGGTGCTGTATGCTAATGTTTTGGGTTGTTGGACTCACATGTGCCCAAGTCGTGATGAAAACAAAGCGGTAAGTTAGCGATGCAGAGCCGTTTACATTTGACACAAAGTATAGACACACGTACTGCAGCGCATTACTTGTTCAGTTTGTAGAACTGTCAGGGATGAATCAGACAGAGACGGATCGTGGTGTGCCAAACTCTGGAAGTTTATTTAAGTTTCTCTCAAGTTCCACTGGTTTACTCTGTTTCTTTCTCTCAGACAGAATAAAGGCAGTACACAGTTTATATAGTCATTGTCACGTCACACATCGAAAGACATACGTGTCACAAAGAGACAGTCACATCATAGTCATAACATGGAGTCCTTGTAGAGTCCTTGTACAGTCCTGCACGTAGGCCATATTGCTATCTAATACTAATACCCTCCCCTTTGATCACATAATCACATGTGATCATTCAAATCGATCAATCAATAAAATGGAAAAAGAAAAAAAAAAATTCCAAAAAAAACTTCAAAAAATTATTAAAAACAAAGAAAATGTATGCATTAAACTCATAATCATCAAATCAATATCAGTGGATTTTATCCTCTATCCTGGGAAAAAGCAAAACAAATAAAGTAAATAAACAAACAAAAATAAAAAACACTATTGGACACACAAGAACTCAGCAGATTCAGTCAAAACACAGACAAAAACGAGCTGAGTCTCAAATTTGAAGCTAATTTCACTTTTATTACTCTATACTTTTATTCTAATGCTAATTGTTTACACTACACTTCACTTATTTCACTGTATTATTTTCACTTTTTAATCTTAGACTGTGTACTTTACTTTTACTATTCACTACAGTTTAAAACTATTCTAATCTATTTACAAATATGTTTGCATATTTGCTTCTATTGAGCCATATTCTTAAACATACATTTTAATCTAATAAATCTCTCTGTGGTTTACTTTCATTATCAGTTTGGGATGAATGTACATCTTTAATCAAATTGGAACTATCCTTACAAGAGCTAATCTATTTGAGCAGGTTTGGGGTTGGGGTCAGTTATTCTACAATGGTGTTTGTGCTGGAAACTTCTCAATATCTAAATATCTACTATTGTGTTTTTGTGCTATACACAAATACATCAAAATGCTTTTAAATGCTTTTGAATCTCTGTCAATGGTGTAGGTTTGGTTCCAATCTTGGTGGGGACATTCACTACGACCTGAGTCTACACCCATTGGCACGCGGTCCAGAGTTTCTCCCCCAGAATTTGTTGTGTAATCACACACTATATTTGCAATAGTGTGTTGCCTTCTATACTAAACTCAGCTGTAGACTGAATGAGAAGCAGTTAAGGATTTTTTCTAATAGTTAAAACAAAATCAATTGGATCAGAGCTTCTGAGTTTTGTGTTGCGTTCATTCTATACTGACTTAAACCTAATCCAAATCTACATAATAGCCCTCACCTGAGGCTCTAACAGTTCAGGAACTGCTCTCGATACTTGAAATAAATCATGCTCTGATCTTTCAATTTCCTATAATAAATAAAAACAGAGGAGAAAATATTGAATTAGAATCTACAGTGAGTAGCTCACTACATTGTTTGACATATACGATCAATCTCTAAAAACAATTCATAGTCCCATGCATACCTACAAATTCCAACCTCACCTGATGCACTGAAGGGCCTGTTGCTTCTACCTCAACATTCCCTATATTGTTCTCTCTTGTTGGTTGAGTTTCCTATGTATGTTAACAGAAGATTAATCATCACAATTCATAATTTGCTATTACTTGTGCTTTCGCTTACTTACTTTCCAACTGTTAAAAAAGCTCCTGATATCTTTTATCTTTTTTTGTGGAGGTGGCATTTTTTCTAAATTATATAAGAAGGTATAGACCAGGGGTGTCAAACTCATTTTGGTCCGGGGACCACATAAAACCTAATCTGATCTCAAGTGGGCCGGACCAGGAGATGCTCTACAAAAATATCCAAAAACGGTACAAAGTCCAACTTTTTGTGCACATAAACACATTTATTTAAAACTTCCTTTAAAACACTATCCTTTAATACTCAGTTTTCTGTTACAAACTTAAATGTAACGGTGAGTTTTTACGTATTTACAATATTACATTGTAAATGGTATTTCACAATATGTATATTAATATTTGTGTGTTAGCTTTGTTTTAAGGCTCATTACAGAGAAAACCTGCTCACAAAGGTAAAGTAGATAGAAAAAAACATTTTAACACAGCACCTCAGCTTAACCATCTTCAGTGTGGTAAGGTCCATGGTTATGTTATTATCACATTAACCATCTTCAGTGTGGTACGGTCCATGGTTATGTTATTATCACATTAACCATCTTCAGTGTGGTACGGTCCATGGTTATGTTATTATCACATTAACCATCTTCAGTGTGGTCAGGTCCATGGTTATGTTATTATCACATTAACCATCTTCAGTGTGGTAAGGTCCATGGTTATGTTATTATCACAGAGAAAACATCAAACTGACCATGATTCACTTGAAATGAATAAAATAACTTCCATAACGTGATCCAATCTTAACGACTGCAGCAGTGTCTCTGTGTAAAATACAGTCAAATGTCCAAAAATCATCACCTCCATTTGCAGCTTGGTCACTACACCTGTTTTTACCATCGGTACCAGTCCACACTGTCCAACACACCAGCAACAACAGCAGAACCAGCAGCAGCAGCAGCGCTCAAAACTCCTCTGATAGTTTCAGACACAAATGAATATGTGACATCAGTAACATCAGTCTCTTATCAATGGCAACATGTTGGTAAAAGCGAGTAGTTTCTCAGACCATGTCTGCAGCCTGTGAGAGTTTTAACAAACTCTCTCTCACTGTGCGGCTGCGATGCTAATGCTAATGTTGTTAGCACAGGTAGCTTCCCTTTACAGCAGCAGAACTAACCTCTCGCTCTGGGCACAAACAGACTGCTGTGTCTTCAGGGCCAGACAGGTTTATCTTCTGTTTTCTCAATTCTCCGCTCAAAGTGCCGTTTTTCGCCGAGTCTTGTAGTTTAAGATGTTATTCCTTCAGCACCGCTCTGGTGGAGCCACTACAGACGCACTGGACTCACCCCTGAGCGCGGCGTCGCGGCGCCTCACGTCGCGGAGCGGCTTTTTAAAATGTATTTTTATTATATTTTTACATAAATGAGCCACGGGCCGTGTCAAATCTCTTGGCGGCCGGTTACGGCCCGCGGGCCGTATGAATGACACCCCTGGTATAGGTTTCCGGGACAAATCCGGGAGTGACAGGCACGACATATGCACAAACGGAAGACATGTGTCCCGGACCGTCCGGGTCACGGGACATCATGTCATTTTGGTGGGGACTTTTTAGTCCTCACCAAATATTGGTGGGGACATGTCCCCATGGTCCCCACGCAAACCTACGCCCTTGATCTCTGTTGGTTTTAATCTATCTCATTAATCTAGGCATTAATCTAGACTACACTCATGGACTTTTTGTATTGTCAACATTCACAGATGTTTGAACACAAGTGAATTTGGCAAGTATCTAATAAAACTGTACATAAAACTGTAATTAACTTTATCTACTTCTGAAGTAAATGTTTGTGAAATGGTCCCTTTACCATTTGATATTAGCACTGGCTAAGAATATTCTCTATTTTTGAAAGCATCTATGGTTGATGCATTTATCTATCTCTATTTTTACACTATTGTGACTCCAAAGTTTGGCTGCAGTTTGAGCAAAGGCATATTCCTAATTTGTGACTTCTGTCACTTTTAATGGCTGTAACATAACTCTGATTCTAATATTATAGCTGATCTATCAAAAGGATAACATTGTATGGTACTATTTTAACTCTTACGTGGAAATGTGTTTATGAAAAACAAAGGAAGGACAATTCTACTCTTTCTACTACTACTAAAAACGCTACAATACTTATACTTTATCATTTTCAAAGTTTTTGTCTGTCAGATGTCTGAATACTTAACATGTATATTGCATTTGGTCACAGGTTCTGGTTGTAGCAATAGCATCAGCAATAGACGTTTTTCATTGGCTGGTTCTTGTTCTGCAAATGTCTGTGTCCAATAGATCATCAGATGTCCAGAAGCTAGGGACAAACAAAAACAAAAGAAAGAATCATGAGTATCTCTCTCATTTAGCACTCATCAATGTATGATTTGAATAATATAAACATCACTCCCCAGTTTTTCTCTCTCAGGTCCTCAGATCCTCAGATCCTCAGGGTCCCCTGAGGGTGAGTCTCAGTCGTCATCAGGTCAGGTCATAGAGAGATGTCATCTTGGACATC